TGTATGAACGTAATTGGGAACTTGAACGCATTAAGACGGTGTGGTACAGACGAAAAATGCAATGCCCCAAATGCTCACCAATTTTAAGGATAAAATTTTTCCTTAGGCAGACATCGGGTGAAATAAATTTGAGAACTTGTGCATCTCGTCGAAGTGATTCTGTCGCAACCACAAAGTAAATAAATACCGAAAGCAACCATGCTTCACTGCTTATACACTATGGTAAATATATGTTTATATTATAAATACTATATTTCTAATATATATATTGAAATGTTACATATTTATAAAATATAAAATATATAAATCGAATCCATTATCGAGTGTTTTATTATAACCACTTATTATTACTTATCAATCAATAGTAATGACCGGAATCAATAAAAAACCACATTATAGTGACTAACGGGTAAATGTTATCAAATTATTTATTAATACAATACTCTGTCTAGAAGGAAAATAAATTACAAGCGTCTGCTTTACTACAGCATGAAGAGTACTAAGAAATTTGTCTATTTGTATTATTCACACATGTTTCCCGCTTTACTCGCGTAGATTTCATTCCCAAATATTTTCATACTCTTATACGAAAAAAGCTTCAACTTAGACAAATACTAATTTTGGCTAGGCTAAAACTAAAATCGTGCACAAAGGCGACAATCGAGGTCGTGCTCAGATTCAGTGTTGGCAGAGTGAGCTGAAGATAAAAGTTATTTATATTAATTAAAAATTAAATAAAAAAATGGACTACTACTATACACGTGAATATATAGAATAGACAGTGCATCATTATGTAATTATTAATACACACCTATTTATTTTTAACAACGAGCTCTGCTCATTGTATAACAACAATGTCAATTACTGTAAAAATATAATATAGGTACATACTGTTGTATTTCAATCAATATATCGCGGTTAAGCAGTCAAAGTCGCAGTTAGATAGGACAACACTTAATAAATATTACAAGTGGATATATGATTTTTTTCTGGACACAGAACTAGTATAGTATTTAAAACGGACTAAACTTTATAAACAGTAGATTGTGTGTATTCTATTTCGCCTATTTCAACTGTCAAGCATATTCCTTTTTAAAATATGTTTTAATTGAAAGGGGGGATAAGGCCATGAAATTACAGGATTTGGACGCATAATATCTTAGTTCTCCGGAATGACAACGTATGAGTGGTATAACGGGCATCATATGATAACGTAATATCCGTGGGCCCTTTCATAGCTATTTCATACTCGTATATAGGCGACGTTTAATAGTTATCATCAGATAGGTCATCCGTCAGCTTGTTTGTCATTCCAATTATATAAAAAAGTTATGACAAAGAAAACACCAGAATATAATAGTGTTAAAAGACACTATAGGCATCGTGGTTATATACATAACGTTGTATATAACCACAACGTTATGAAATTTTATCCTATCTCTAATCTAAGTATCTGTCACTAATTATATATTCTATTATAGATAAGAATTATATGCCAAGGGTGTTCGTAGTAACCTCATTAGATCATTAGCAGTTATATTTACTAAAGTGCATTTAAAGAAAGCAATAACTGCCGTTAGTACTTAGGAAGAAATGTAAAACAATAATTACATTACATTAACAAAGTACTTTATTTTGGTATCAACCAGATTTGAATTCACGATCTTCTTCATATAAAACGGGGTAGCAAAACCATTATGCCATGTCGCTACTTAGTATATTTAATTAGTATAATTTACATACATTAAGATAAATCATAATTAACTGAAGTACCTATTGTCAAGGAAAGGAACGCCTAAATAATGTATTTGTGTGGAACGAAAAATGAAACGCATGAAATATGTAAATAGTAAAACATAAATAAATTAAATTAAATTGTATTTTGAATTAAATGACTTAAGGGTTAAAAAATAATGTAAAAGAACGACACTTATGGAAATGTCTAAAATGTTTCATAAGAATAAATGAATGAATCATTCAGAATTTTGAATGATGAGGCTAGCCTCATTGTCTGTCCTATTGAGGAAATCTGTCTACACCATTCATTACAAAACGTACAAAACGCGAAATAAAAATGAAAAGGTAACAAACAGACAGATATCTTTGCATTTAGTATTAGTGACAACTAATTCATTCTGCAATAATAGGTTAAAAGTAAGTAAACAATGATTTTCCAACAACTTGGTTACATAATATAAAATTTATTTTAAATTATTTAGGTATTATAATATTTTTCGTTTTGCAAGTTATAGATAAATATAGAAGTATACAAATCTAATATATTCGTATACAATAGGAAATAACTATATCTTAGAGTTTCATATTTATATGGAAATGTCTTTAGAATTCCTTAATGGTATAGCGTGCTTTGACTATATCAGACAAGACTGGATATAATATTTTATTGTTATGTTTGAAAGAAACGCTGATGGCACTCTGCTCTCTCTGAGAAGTCTGCTTTGTGCTACATATAATAATGTTTATTTTGTAATAGGAACAGATTTTAAATTCAGAATAAAAAATAATGTTAAATCGACTACACTTTTTAATGTTTTAAATTATATTATATATTACTTTTTGAAATACCTTTCCAAACCGTGTCAGATGATTCTTTTTTATAACGAACGAACTTACAATTTCACAGTACGACTGTAACTTTAATTGCTATTGGACTGTTTTACTTCCGTACGCTGCATGTTATCAATATAAATAATTTGTATGCTATGTTATATTTTAGTTCCGCGTTTCTATATTAAAATCGTCACAGTAGCGCGCTAAAAAAATTAAATAAGTTATTTGTACTTCAAATTAGTTTTTTTCTGAGGAACCGATGTAAGGATCAAGTTTAAATTAATACTAATTGTATGGATATAACAATAGTATTCTACGTATACACCATATATTTTTTAGTGGCAACAAGTATTGTCATATCAACTTCTCTTTAGAATCTATCTCAGGAATAGAGGTTCTTGAAATTTCTTCTAAAGTGAAGAAAAGAGGATTATTTTCAAATTGCTCTCTAATTCAACCCAAATATATACAAGGCAGTATTATAAATATCTACTTAGAATAGATATATATGAAACTTTACATAAAATCTTAGAATGAATTATAAAATGTTTTTTGACCAGTTCTGCTAGACGTTATAACCATAGTATTTCTGTCCTTGGTGTTACAACGGCGATTTTAATCAGTTTCGAGATTAGTGTTATCCAAAACATTAACCAAATACACTGAGTAATCCTTAAGACGCCTTGACATGTCCAAATAAGGATTTTATTGGCTGTGTGTCACTGCTCAAATAGACATAAAAACACAACTGTCTTCTTGGTATGTTGTTTTACGTATTACGTGCGAGCAGATGAATAAATACACATGTTCAAATATGTTTAAAAACCTTAGTAATTCGAACGCACCTAAATTTAATTAATATAACCTAATTAAATTCGTAAAACACCGACTTGTTTTCTTGTGGTAAGGATTACATTGGTGAGTTAGTGATGGATTTGAAATATACATACATACATTACATTACACTATTAGTTAAGAAACTTTTTTATCGAAAGTAGGTATTTATTAATCTATATCACAGCATGATATTTTTTTACAGATAAAGACTACTTTTATAGAAAACAGAAATTTCAGGGAGGAAATTAGATTTATAAAGATGTACACATTGTTAAGTATACTATTACAATTTTACTTTGGTGAGATATGAGTAGTAGAACCTATATGATAAATTATATATTTTGCTTTCAATGTGCATTTTTATTTGAAAACAATTAATTAAATTAAGTTAAGATATATGTATAGATAGATAACTTTCAAAACTATTTTAGTAATTTTAAATATCATGTTTTAAGAGTTATCCCGAAGTACTATTCAAAATTTACCAACCATATGGGGAACCCTAAGTGTGTCCTATTTACATAATATATTACGTTTCCCTTGTCAATAGGGTAGGCCCTATTACGGGGTTTTGCAGACGGTGAAGAATCCTCGTAGTAATATTATTAGTACCTATTGATTTTGTTTTCATTATACAGGCACATATATTGTACAAAAAATAGCATTATTATTTGTTTTTGTTGTAAAAATAGGTGGTAAAACAATAAATTTGTTGGATAAATATTTTAATGGCAACAGTAGAACATAATCATAGATAGTAAGGTGACATATAAGGTAATTTGTTTTGAAAATAAAGAATAAAACTTAAATATATTGTTATTATAAGAGTTACTTAATAATTTCATATTGGCTATGAATAAGCCTCTATAGAGGCTAAAGTAATTTAAGTGTCTTGTGTGATTGTTTATTTTAACAAAAAAATACTGTAAGAGTGTTGTAAAATAAACATGTATTTTTGAGTTAAGGAACTGACAGAATGTGACGTCAAAGGTGTGTGCAATTTATAGAAACATAGATAACTAATTTAATCTTACGTATGGAGTGCGTATGATATCATAAGCAATAATACGGAAATACTAGCTACGTCACAGTAATTAAGCGTTTTGTTCTGTGATTCATTTTGATACCAATGTTTACATGTTTAAAAGGAAAGTGTTTAGCTAAGAAAAAGGTTTTGTATACGATTGTTCTCGAATTTAATCAGGTTCTATTTTTTTTTAATAATACGGAATTTTAATATATTAAATTATAAGAGATTAATATGATAAAACAAAATAAGCTATTTCAATTTCCAATAAGAAACTTTTATAGCAAAATAGAATAAGTCTTTTTAAGCAAAATAATTGAAATTTATACATTTTTAAACAAAATATGTATGTTTAAAAATGTATAAATTTTAATTCATCATTTTTTGTATCTAGTAGTTAGTAGGTATATATACATATTCAAAATATGTATATACATATATATATAAATAAAAAATCGACAGTAGCCATAGTAAGTTAATGATGTGTCGTGCTATACCTACCTACGTATTTAGCTGGTATATATTGTAGGCGCGTCGGTGCGGGCGCATATTCACTGCCACGGTCGCGTGCCCAATAACTATTGGGTATCGTATTTAGCGTATTCAGTCTACTATACCACGTCGAGACGGTTGCTCGTACCGTGCGGCGGTACATCGTGAGATTCTAGTGATAATGATAACAGAAGACCATAACATAATCATCGTTTAGTTAGTACACTTTTCAAGTTACGAATCGTGCGGTCGTTATTTTTGAACTGGTAACATTTTAGTGGCTTCGAAATAGAACGAGTCAAGGTGCGTACCGTTATATTTCTGGTGCTTGGGAATGGTGTTACGAAACGGGAATGCATGGTAAAGATGCAAGGACCAGTATGTTATTATGTATGAATGTTTATATGTGGAAATAAAGTGAAGATGCCGTGATCGTGACAAGTGAAATTCTGTTGAAGAATGATATTACTTACAAATGTAACACTTTTACATTCAAGATATTCCATCATTAAACTGTTACAAATAATGATGTGAAATCATTGATTATATGGTATTGTACAATCATTTGTGATTATTATTGTTAGTAGGTAGGTAGGCAGACATTTATATCTTAGTTGTACCGAGTGAAATCCTGTCAAAGTACATGCATAAATGTAAAACTTTGCAATTTACACCTGAGATATTCTTCATTACATTTCGTGATATCACATCAACGTAATGATAGGCTATTAATTGAATAATAATACATGTTTAGTGATCACTATTGTTAGCAGGTACCTATTTACTAAATGGTTTTATAATTAGGCGTTCAGTATTTTTTAAAAACAAAACTATGTGATCACTAATATTTTAAAACCATTATAAAATAGTACGTAAAAAATCAATATTTTTTGTAGTTTCTTTATGTAAATTAAAAACTTATAAAACTGTAGGTATATGTAGGCAATATGATATAAATGTCAAATGGTTATAAACATCATTAAAATTCTATTCAACATCAAGTTTTCCAATGTCATCTAGGTGGTTTGGTCACATTATGTGCTACAATATTCAATGGAAACCCTTTTGAATTCTTATTATATATTATTGTAATAAACTTCCAATCAGGGAACGTTTTGTAATTGCAAAAAATTCCATACAAAATTGTACCGTATACCGACAAAGTAAATATGCATATCATAGTATTTATTATTTAATTACTTCCGCTATATTCTAGATTCAGTCGTTACTATTTGACATTGACTATTTGTTATATATATTACAGATGAATACATTGACAATACTATTTGGAATCTGTGTTTGCGCGGCAGTTGTTTATGGTCGACAATTTAATGACCGAGTCGATACAGACGTGGCATCAGATGAAACAGATCACATAGGAAAAGCAAGAGATGTCGCTGCCAATCAGATGCGGCACCGCCGAAGACGATGGCAAAGCAACTATGGTTATGACTACTCACCGCCACCTATTCCTTATTACCCAGACAGAAGAGAATACGATCGGCCTAGTCAACAACAAGACATTGTCCCTCAAATATTGAGGCTTTTGGACGAAATATCCAGCTACATAAAACGGCCGCAACCTCCCCCACTACCGCAACCAATCTATGTACCCTATCCAGTGCCTTATCCAGTACCTCAGCAATGCACATGTTCAGGAAGAAGAAATAATAACAAATCACCTACAGATATACCAACTACTTTTGACAATAGAATTAAACCTGAACTAGAAGATGAAAGGCAAAATTGGGGAATAATAGACTCTAATGCAGAGAGAGAGGAGGGTGACTATGACGACATTGGCGACGGATCCCGGCCGATATCATTCGAACCAATAAAACCGAAACGACCTATGCAACGACCTCCACCGAAGGTAGAACATGGAAGTAGTCAAGGCCGAGTAAGTAATCAATAGATTATCTACTTGATTAAGTAAACTTTGTAGTAACAAAAAAGACAAAAAAATATTCATTTCATTGATATAAAAAAGATAATGATATTTTATTATATACATTTCTTAGATCTATTGCCTGTAAATATTATAATGTAATTACATTGATTTTGTAATTAGTAAATAAACTCAAAATATACGAAAGTATTGCAGTAAGAAAATAATTGTTATGAAAATATTTCTGCCTTTTCTCTTAAATGCAAATTAATGTTATTAATCTTTTTAATTTGTTTTAGAACGATCTACAATTACAAGCATCAAGTAACTCTAATCCAGAACAGGGTAGAGCAGCGTCTATCTGCAATGGAGCAATACTGACTTGCTGCAACACATCATCACAAAAGCAATGTTTCACGAGGCTAGGCTGCGCTATGACATTTGCGAAGGGCAATGCCTGTACCCAAGAGTCTGTTACCACGGCTATAGAATCATTTAAGTTAGCTTATGCTCCTGTATATTGAGCAAGTGAGTATACATGGAGTAAGAGTACATTAATGTAATCACTATTATCAGTATTGTAGTGGTATAGTGTCTGTTGTATTATAAGTACATATATATTCATCGACAATAAATTCATTTCGATGGTATTAAACGGCCCTTGAAATGATTTTAGGTAACGAATGCACATTTATGTCATAAAATCTTGATACTATTCATTATTTGCAATTTATGAATTTGACCAATACTTTGAAAAAGTAGGCAAGTCAGTGCTTTATATTTTTGCATACAAATTTATATATGATAGTGGCAATATAAGTGATTTTGTTACAAAAAGAAATATTTTCCCGCAAATAGTTTTGTGTATCAACTGAATATTATTTGTGTACTTAGTTACGTTAGACAATGCTTGGCGTTAAAAATTTATGGGATGATATTATTATATTATTCACGGAGATCTAGTTTTTTAGGTTTTCTCACGATGATAAGAAAATATTGCTTAAAATTTTTCACAACATTGTTGATCTAGCGCTGTTTGCTAACATCCATTTAAAGTAATGCAATTCTATATTCGAATATTTACAATAATTATTTCTATTAAGGTACAGATATTCCAAATTTGAATCTTAAATTATGTTAAATGTATTTCTTTACATCCACGATATATAGATTTAAAGACTTCTTGGTTATATTTTAATTGAGAAATGGCTAACTGCAAAGCCTGAAACAAAAGTCATGAAATATTTTATCTGATGCCATAGTCGTAATGTTTTTTTTATTCAGTAATATTAAATATTTATTAAATTTATTATACGAAAAAGGTGTTATGTGGGACAATGACCCCGAGGTTCGTACAGTATGTATATTCGAAAAATTCATATATGAGTTATTGCCTGTGAGGACGGTTATGTAAATAAAGAGGCATTTATGTATGTAATATCGAATGTGTTTTATGTATTTTGTTAGGAAGAAGTATATTGTAAAGTTAACATGATTATTAATAAAATATAATAATGTATGAGTTGTTCATTGACACTCTTTAATAAATGTATATATTTAATAATCTTCACGATATCAAAAATTTGTATTATTGTTACTTAAAATATATGCCTTAACAATATTAGTAAAATATTGTGATATTGGCACCTACTTAGTTGAATGTAAGTGTTCCTAGTCTGTTTTTATGTAGTAATTTGGATCCGTATTTGTAATTTTGTTTAATAAAATGGAAATTAACAAGAAGTTTTGCTTTTATTATGATTTGACTTTAGTATATGAAAATACCGTTCAAATATAATAACTTTATAGTTTAACCTTAAGAAAATAACAATGATGATATCTACTATCCACTTTATTATTCAGTAATTTATATTTTACAAAACACAGCAAGTTTGGTTAATACACTCAACTATAAAAAGTGGTCTGGGAAGAAAGTTAATTTAGTTATGTCTGAAAAAAAGTTATTATATTAATTATATTATAAACGCGAATGTTTGTGAGTATGGATGCATAGATGGGTTAATCCGCGGGCACAGCTAGTTATAAATAAAATGTAAATATATATGTATTACAGTACATTTTATTTATATATATATGTAAATATATATATAAATAAAATGTTAATAATAGTTTATTAACTTGCTGTATTTGCGGTTTCAATCGCGTGAAATTATGGCCTATGCGTTATTTTGATGTAAAAGCTATATTACTGTAAAGTTTAATTAAAATCCATTCCATCCATTTATAACATTAGCAAGATAATAACCAAGTTTTATGTTTACTTATAAATTTAGACATTGGATGGTTCCTTATAAAATACAGTAATCAATCACATACGATTCTAAAATATTAAAATAATATCCTCAAGAGATTCTGCCGACGCTATTTTAATATGGCTTTTTATACAGAAATGTATAAAAACATATGAAGGTTGAATACTAGGGAGCGTCATCCTATGAGAAAGAGCGACGACCTCGAGAACGTTGCAGGGAGTCGGTGGATGCAGGAGGTTGCAAATAAATAAAGGGGCGATACTGTTTCTCAAAGTATTCGACAAAAATAATATTTTATGGATTATGAAATTTTTCATTAATGCACCGCTCCTATTTGTCGTAGCGTGATGTTATATCGCGTATAGCAAACATTGAAACATTATTCTAGTGTTCGATAGTAGCCTACTTATCGAGGCTAGGAGAGAATAATGTTTCAATTCGATCTAGTATTTCCTGAGATTAGCACGTTCAATCAAACAATAAACTCTTTTTAATGTTTATATAGATGTCTATTTGTATTATTTTTTAATTGATGATTATGGAATGGTGCAACACGTCTATACTAAATCTATATGATGGTAAGGACCAGTAGACAATGTTAGGTTCATAGAAGACAGATCAGTTAGCTCATAGTGGCAAATTGACCCAGAAATTAACCACGGTGCTTTCCAGAGGGAACCACATTACCTATGACCGTTCACTGAATCCTGAATTAATGCGCATATTTATGATTAAAACTTTATGGTAAGTAATCGTTGTTTTGCCTTATAATATATTAAAGTTGCTATAATTGAGGTTGATGGTAGAAGGGTGAAAATATAGGGTTGTATCTATGTATTTGTTAATGTCACATTATAAAATAATAATAAAATTATTGTACAAAGAATAAAAATTAAATGTTAGGGGTGGACTACCCTTATGACTTAGGGTATGAAAAATAGATAGTAGTGGATTCTCAGACTATGCATATAAAATGTCATAAAAATCGGTCAAACCGTTTCGAAGGAGTATGGTAACTCACATTGTAACATGAAAATTTTTTATATGTAAGATAAAAAATCTAAAACATGGTCATAGCGAAAATTTGATAGAAATAGTTTCTTATTATTCACACACCTACTTCAGATCAGTTTCAATATCTATTATTTATTTCAGTATCGATTGTTTGTATAAAGTTAACCATTTTGAATGTATATTGCAATCAATGCCAGCACAGCAGGAGCCGTGGGTACTGGTTACATGAAAATTAAATGGAAAGTTATACAAATATGTCTCGATACGGGATTATAATCCGCATTCTCTGTATGGAAATCGACTACTCTCACCTCGCATTGTGGTCGATATATCTACTAAGTACGTAATTTTTTGTAATGTACCGCAAAAATGTTTTCGTAACCACAGATTTGCTTATAGTAAATTGCCAAAATTTCTACATTATATGAGAACATATATATTCATGGTACCTATTATATGTGCTACATAATTTACGGGAAATAAAAAAAAAACAAATGAATGGCAGAAATACTTGTCACAATAATACATTTAAAAGCTTAAATGAGAAGGTAGGTATGTAAATACAATATGTATTGACAATATATTATATATTGTATTAATGGTAATATGTCCTGTTAAATTATAATAAGGAAAAAACATATATGATGACAAGTATTACACAAACAAAATATACCTTATACGTTCATTTAAAATATATAACAAGGTATAACATTAAATTATTGAATAAATATGTACAGATCTAAGCCATACATAAAATATCTATGTGTTTTTCTAAATTTAAGTGAATCTCTTCATTTCCAATACTTTTCTATAAATAATATCTCAGGAAAATTCACACAACGTCATCTAATCTCAGTCTAAGCAAAATTGTGCTATGAGTAAATATCTACTAGATAACTGAAATAAATGCATAGATATGTTTTTTTTGTAAATTCGTGCATATTATACATAGAAAACAACTAGACCGATACAATAACATACTCAAGAATGCAAATGTTTGTGCGGTGTGAGGAATCGAACCCACGACCGTCGGAAGCAATCGGTGCGGTGATGTGTTAAACCGCTAGACTATCGAAGCCGTTAAAATAAGAACATACCACGAATATCATTTTATGTAAATTAACGATACGAAAAAGATTGGCGCTAATAAAATTGTATAAAATATTCGATGTTGCGAGTAGACTCTTAGCTATAAGTAAGATACTGGATTCCAGATTTTTTTGTATATATAATTGTCTGATTGAAAAGGTTGATAGATGATGTATAATTTATCTCGTTCATGCGCAAGGTTTATCTATATTTTTTTATTGAAGGCGGAAGTGTGCTGTTAAATTAAGTGCATGAAGATTTTTATTAGTTGAAAATACATACAATATAAAATGATTCTATTTAAGAGAACAGATAATAAGAAAATATGGTAAGCTGTAATAATGTTTTTGTAATACTTAAATCTCGAAATTTAGGTGCAAAGGACGACTTGATTTTTTTAAATATACCAAAAAATCCATCTATTGAAATGTACAGTTATTTTCAAAGATACAAAGTAAAATTTATTGAAGGAAAAGACTAAACAGTTTAATATTTAAAATATGTTTATTAGATGTCTGACGTATTTGTGTTTAAGAGGGTAGAACTGTACCATAAGCCTGCTTTCGTATTGAACAGTTAACTCGACATAGGCATCCGGTTGAAACTAGTCTACACTGCAGTTTTAGTTTATTAGTTATCAGTAATCACAAATAAATATTTATAGTCATCATTCCATTCGTCAAATTCAATAAGTGACAATGTTATAATATTAATATGAATATGTACTGAATAAAATGTAAAATCACAAACAAAGTACTTTAATACAGTAACATACACAAAACTAAAGAAACAATTCCAAAGTAATAATTCAAACAAAATGCACAGAGACTAGCGTAATAAAACAGATAAATATGATAAAGCTATCTACTAATGCAGATATTCCATAGGTTTAAAATGAATTACACAATATTTAATAAACAATATCCAACAGAGAAATTTGAATTTGAATTTATGAAGCAAATCATTGATCCTGTCTTATAAGCCCATTATTTTTTTAATATTAAAGTCTTACATATTTTTTCAATTAAATGGATATCAAGGATCCGGTCGTACCTATATATAAAATTACATAATAAACATTATCCTACTCTATTTTGCAAGGTATATATAACTAGATACAATTTTGTTGCAAATTGAAATGCAACAAAATTGTACCTAGCTATATATCCCATTGCGAAATAGTCTTGAATATTATATTATATATCCGAAACTTATACTTTTTTTAATGGACGTTAATGGAATAGTGCACCTACTTGTGCTAACAATATATGCTGGCGAGGCACCACCGAGGTAAGCATAATAAGATAAGCATGAAGACAGGTCAGTTAGCACATTCATCGGGAATTAACCATGTTGGTTCCTAGTAAGGATCATGTGCAGGTCGACTTGACATGGTACATATTGGGGTCACTAGTCACCATTACTAACAATAAAGATAGATTTATATTAAAAAAGCCATTAAGTAACCGATTAAATCATTTTAATATTGATTACTCATATTTGTACACTGGAAAATACAGAAGATTTGTCCTAAAAAGATAATAAATGTGACTAACTCAGTTTCATACAGGCACTCCATTCATTACTCTTTTTTTTTATAACTAAGGTGTCAAACAAGTCGACTGTCAGCCTGATGGCAAGGAGTAACCGTCAGCTATATAGATACACGAAGAATACCACGAACTAGTTGTCATCACATGGCACCTTTGGTAGACGTCCAAAGCGTTGCGTTGCCATTCCAGAGGACTAAGGCGTAAATACACTGTATCTTGTAATTAGACTGCCTCCATTAAACTGTACCATTTCCTCCTTAAACTGTATCATCCTCCACCCGAAACACAAGCACTTTCAAAGCAAGCTGCTTGGCAGCACGATTAGTTGAGACTGGGCATTTATGCAGACAACTTTTTATAAAGTCTACCTAGGTTTTTAAATTTTGTTTATACAATAAGTTTTTCATTCAGTAATTTATATCATTCAGAAAGGCTACTAGTAGCTTTTCTGTTTACAGTACCTTCATAAGCATTTTGTGAGAAGCTGTTAATTTGAAATTACAATCAGATACTTTAATTTGATTTATTTATTTGTACACATGTCTAGCGGCTTAGCCTATCGCTTTGTTTCCGATGAGCGCAGGTTTGGTTCCTAAATAATACAAATATTTCATATTTCATGAATCGTTGTATACTACAACAGTTGCAAACTAAAAACTATAGTGTTTATATAAATAATCTAAAATAAATTCAAAATTTCATTTGCTTTTCCCATTACCTGCAGAAACATTCCCAGCTTCAGCAACACACGTATATTTGGTTGCTTATTTTAAGCTCCTGATTCTAGAGATGATGTCTAAATTCTGGCAGCTTA